GATCACTGTATGTTGTACAACTGAAACCAATATATTATTGTATGTTAACTGTAATGGAAAAATTTTTTTACATAAGTGATTTTTAAAAAGCAGTTTACTAAAGAAATATAAAATCAAAATTAAGCTATCAATTTCTGCCTACTGATTTGAATATCCAGTGTTAAGAGTATAGGAGAATGCGGAGAATCAAGATGGCAGAGGAGTGACTAGAAGTCACACTGAGCTCCTCCCAGGACCAACCTGGAATTACAACTCAATGGGGGAGAAATCACCTGGAACAAACAACTGAACCATAGTGAGAGAGGAGCCATGTAACCCCGGAGACAGAAGAATTGGCTTTAGCGCAATCTAACTGGTAAGGAATGTGGTACAGACTTGAGAAAGCGGGCAGGACGCCCACAGGTGGCAGCACCAGAAGGATATTGAAATGGCAAGTTGGATCCCCCTGAGAAGAGTGGGGTCTAAACCAAAAGCAGGGATCTCTAGCCCACAGGACCAGAGCCCAAACATACAACAATCAGCCAGCTGTGAGAAGGAGCAGGCAGCCGGAGACGCAAAGAACTCTTTGAAGGGCCAATGCTTACATTTTTATTTGCAGACACTTACGCTGGGCTCCAGCAAAGGCAGGGGCAGAGGAGGCTAGAGACACCTGAGGGGAGAGGAGGAAGGCGGCTTTGGGGAGAGAACCGAGAGAGTAGCCAGTGGAATCTCGGTGCTGACTCATCCCCCATGTGGCAGCAGCCATCTTGCTCAGGCAGAGACCAGACCCCTGAGCAGCCGCAGCATCAGAAGACCCAATAGCTCCACCCCCAGGTGGGACTCGATCCTGCCCTGTGCTTTCCAAGCTGCCTGCTGAGTGTAGAATGGCAGCCACAGATAGTAGATCCCTGGCTAAAGGGGGCACAGAGGTCTGGAGACACTTGAGGAGAGGCTGGGGCCGGAGGCTTTGGGGAGAGAACAGAGAGAGTAGCTGGCAGGATCACAGTGCTGACTCCTCCCCCATACGGCAGCAGTGGGAGAAGACCCAATAACCCCTCCGCTAGGAAGGGCCCCGCGTAGCCCTGAGCTGTCTAAGGTGGCCTGCTGAGTGCAGAGTGAACAGATTAATAGCTGAAGGAGACAGCCACAGACAGTAGATTCCTGGAAGTCTCAAAAAGACTGCCTAAGGTCAGACAGAGTCAACAGCTGACATCATCACAGGCAGATCCAAAAAGAAAAAACAGCGGCCTCCTACCATAGAAGTTCACACCACAAAGTCAGGAAGTCAAGACAGATCAACTTAAGAAGCAGAAGCAAAAAATAAAGAGTCTCACAAATAATGGGAAGACAAAGAAATACCCCCCACTCAAAGGGAAAGGAAGAGTCCCCAGAAAGAGAACTAAATAAAATAGAGGCAAGTAAACTGTCAGATATTGAGTTCCAAACAACAGTTCTAAGGAAGCTCACTGAGCTCAGTGAGCTCAGAGAGAATTATCGAAAACTACAGGAAAACTACGAGAAACTTACTGCAAACTGTATCAGTATGAAAAAGGACATAGAAACAGTAAGAGACAAGAAGAAATGAAGAATACGATTTCTGAATTGAAGAACACAGTAGAAGGAATCAAAAGCAGGCTGGATTAAAGCAGAGGATCGAATCAGCAAGCTGGAGGACAAGGAAGAAAAAAGCTCAGAAAGAGCAAGAAAATGAAAAAAGATTAAAAAAGAATGAAGAGGCATTTAGGGAAATGCAGGAGAACGTGAAACATAGTAATATCCATATAATAGGGATACCAGAAGGAGAAGAGGATGAGGAAGGGATAGAGAACCTATTTGAAAAAGTAATGATGAAAACCTCCCTCATTTGAGAGGAAAAGTCACACAAGTCCCAGAGGCACAGAGGGTCCCATTCAAGAGGAACCCAATGAGGCCCACTCCAAGACACATTACCATTAAAATGGCAAACATCAAAGACAAAGAGAGAATCCTAAAGGCAGCAAAGGAAAAACAGGTAGTAACATGTAAGGGTAAAAGGGAGCTCTGATACGGCTAGCAGCTGACTTCTCAACAGAAACCCTGCAAGCCAGAAGGGAGTGGCAAGAAATATTTCAAATCATGAAAAGCAAAGGCCTGCAACCAAGACTGCTCTACCCGGCAAGGCTCTCAATTAAAATGGAAGGCGAAATAAGGAGTTTCCCAGACAAAAACAGGCTGAAAGAATACACCTCCACCAAACCAGCACTGCAAAATATACTAAAGGTACTGCTTTAAGATAAAGGAAAGAAGTCTATTAACTCCATTCCTCTCACAGTTGCCAGTAGTTGATATTATCAATATTTTTTAATACGTATTAATCTGATTGTGACAATGATGTGTTATTTTAAGTGTCCCTTTTTTATTTGTTGAAACTAAACCTGTTTTGTATATTTCTTGCCTATTTTTATTATTTTTAAAAAGTTTTAAATGACCCTTGGGTATTCTTTATCCATTTTTTGATTAAAGGTTTGTAGAACTGTTTCCCTGGAAAAAAACAAACAAACAAAAAAAAAAAAACCCACAAAAAAACCACCCTTTTTTAGATGTGTTGCAAATACTTTCCTATTCTATTACTTGTCCTTTAACTTTTTCATATGTATATTACTGTACAGTCACTTGTCCTTTAACTTTTTTATATGTATATTACTGTACAGTCTTAAATGTTTTAATATAGTCATATTGTCAATATTTTACTTTATAGCTTAAGGGTTTGAATATTTTAATTCAGGTAATAAAAAATATTAGTTTATATTTTCTCCTAAAACTCTTTAGATACTACATATTGATTTTTTACTCACCTGAATATTTCTTGTATAATATGTGAAACAGAGCTCTATATTTGTTTTATTTCAAGCAATAGTGGTCCATGCACCTTATTTGTTGAATAAGCCTTATTTAACCCATTGATTTGAAATATCAATATAATCATATATTACATTGTTACATAGATGTTTGTCTCTAGAATGCTCATTATATTTCATTGATCTACTTGATTATGTCTGTGCTGGTTTCATGTTGGTTAATTCCTGAGACTTTATAATGGTTTTAAATTTTTTAATATTTTATAACTAACTTTGACATTTAAAAAATAAATAAAATCAATCTGCATTTAAGAAAGAAAGAAAGAGAGCAAGAGAGATGGACATCCTACCTTTTGTGACAACATGGATGGAACTGGAGAATATTAAGCTAAGTGAAGTAAGTCAGCTGATGAAAGACAAATACTGTATCACCTATAAGTGGACTCTATTCAACAAAATAAACTAACAAAATGAACCACAGACATGGAAACACGGAGCAGACTGAAAGTGACCAGAAGAGATGGGGAAAGGACAGTGGTGGAAAGGGGAAGGAACAAGACAAAGAACATGTATGAATGACTCATGGACATGGACAACAAGAGTGGGAATTGACTGTGAGAGCTGGGGGTGGGGTTGGGATGGGTGGAGGAGGGTAAAGGGGAAAAACTGAGACAACTATAATAAACACTATAAATTTAAAAAATATTTAAAAATTTTAAAAAATAAATAAAAGAACCATAAATAACAACAACAAAAAAAAAAGAGTATAGCAGAACTAGCACCATCTAACTACTGGTAAATATGTGACTGGTACAGCTCTAGCAACATCTTCAAATGTTTAAAATGCACTCGCTGTCAGAGGAATTTCCCTTTTAATAGTGTATCCAGGACATGGTCATTCATTACTGTACTTGGTCATATGAAAGGAAAGTCCAAAAAGGCTAAATGTCCAACCAAAAGGACTGTAGTAACATGTCATCGAAGCTAAAATTATAATATAGAACTATATTTATTTATCTGCAAAGTAGAATATTTTGTAGTATTAAATTTCCAAAGGTCATGATACCACATCTAGAGTAGTAGTATTTTTATAAAGAATGTATGTATATATGCATACAAGTGGATTAACAGAAAATCTGAGAATATACATGAAAATATTAATCACCCACTCTGACTGAAATATGTACATGGCAAGCAGTAAAAAATGTAAATATAAACTAACAAAGAAAATGCATTAATCCCCTAATAAATTATGGAGAAAGGAACTCTTTTCAGACCCTAGCTGGTATGGTACAGTGGACTGAGCGCCGGCCTGCAAACCAAAGGGTTGCCTGTTCCATTACCAGTCAGGGCACATGCCTGGGTTGAGGGCCAGGTCCCCAGTGAGGGGAACATGAGAAGCAACCACACAGGGATGTTTCTGTCCTCTCTTTCTCCTTCCCCTCCCGTGTCTAAAAATAAATAAAATCTTTAAAAAAAAAAAATTTAATTACATGATAAAATCTTCTTTACATTAAAACAAAATAAAATGATATAGCAGAAAGGAAAAAAAAATCAAGAATGAAATATGTAATTTGGTCTACATAATATTTTATCAGAAAAGAATAATAAGCTTTTCAAAGGAGTAAAATGATGCTCAACTCAATTATGCCCATACTCTGTCCCCAAAACTCCAACCTCCTCATCTTACTGCAAATTTCTTCTTTTAGAATATCAAATGTATTAGTTAACTTGATTGTGGTTATTTCACAATGTAAACATATGCCACATTATCATGCTGTACATTTGAATTATGTACAATTAATTTTGTACATATAAATTACTTGTCAATTATACCTCAATAAAGCTGGGAGTGGGGGGAATGATGAACTAAGGGAAAAAGACACAGAAGTTTGAAAGGCATTCTGGAAGTGCACATAAGATAATGATTCAAATTTCATATTTAGCACAAACAAAAAGACATCTTCAAAAGGAAATTTCCATTGAAAAAATGTTATGGGCGGGGGTGGGGGGGGTAACACCTGCCATACAGAAAGAGCACAGTTACAATTTCTCAAAATTCTTATTACATCATAGATTAGGACCGAAGTAAGAAACAGTATTCCTATTTCAAACAAGTTTTCAAATAATCATACTTTTCTAAAAAATAAAACTATACTGTTTTAAGTCTCAATTAATACTCACTATACTCCAGCTTCTTTCTCTTCTTTTTCTCTTTCAATTGTTCTTCCTCTTCCCTGACTCCCTCTTCTTCTCTTTGCTCGTCTCCCAAAGTATCGTAACATGCTGCATCACGATGAGCAGCCTTCCTCTGGAAATGCTTAGCTTTGGATCCCCCTTTAACAAGTACAACTTTTCTTTTCAAACAAGTACAGCCAAACATACAGTCTGGTCTGCGGCAGTGAGCAGGCTGGCGCTTCTCCAAAGCTAGACTGGAACATATGCAACCCAATCGACAGAAGTCATTATTGCATGGAGGGGCTCGTTTCCTTATGATTGTGTGGATGGGTTTAGTTTTGAGAGATGCCTAAAGTGAAAACAGAAAATTGTAAATCTACTAAATCATCCCGTGACACCAACAACCTACAGTCCTATGTTGGTCTGCCTTCTTCTCTGACTCTGAAAACTTAGGACAACAGTACAAGATTAGGGCAGATTCAAATGACAGAACATGAAAATAAATAACCAGGACCTGAGCAATTTCCCAGTCTCATGCATAGCACAGGCAAGCAAGAGAACATTTTAATTAATTATGAGCCAAAATATCAAAGATAAATTTATTCTCAATAGAAATCACACATGATGTTCTAACATAGAGGCTGACAGCATAAAGCCCAAGGACCAAATGCCGCCTATTTCATAAAGTTTCACTGGAACACAACCAGGCTCATTCCTAATGTCTATGGCATTACAACAGCATGGTTGAAAAACAACAATAGACCTCAAAACCTAAAATATTTACTGTGCTTTACAGAAACAATTTGCTGATCCCTGCTCTGTGGTAATTAAAAAAGGGAGTAACAACAAACATGCATAGAAGTCTTTAGGAATGATTAATTTTAAAGGACCCTTTCTCTATTTATCCCACTATCTCACGATCTTCACCTCTAGAATTTAGTCACAGAATTTAAAAATGGGAAATAAGGTAAAGTTCATGACAAGAAAATTATCCTCATTTGTTGTGTCACTTCACATCACGAGAGGCTGCTAAGATAGGTGAAGCAATAATAAATGAAAATTCTTAATATAAAATTTTAAAAAACAGAAGCTTTTCCACAGGTTTATAATTTTTTGGATTTTGGGGGATATAATTCCTTTTAAGCAGAGCTTTCAACGGTGTTTTAACAAGATCAGCAAATGTACCTGCCCACATACTAGAGAATGGCCAGATGCCTTTATACAGAATAGGAGTATTACTCAAAAACACAAATGTACTCTTTTTCCTCTGCAGCAAGAGGAATCTACACTTGGGTATCTCATTGATAAAGAAGAAAAAATGTGGAAGACACCTTAGTTGTCACTAAGGTAAGTAAATGCCCAATTCTCTTGCCACAAAACTCCATTCCCCTTCCCCTCACTAACCTAATTCTTTCCAGCCAAGAATATGCTTCTGGAAAACAAAAGATACTTACTTGAGCCGTAAGCAGAGTTGTTAAAGATACATCTGCTCGCTCTTCAGTAATATAGGTCCTTGGTTTTCCTTCCCAAAGTGCACAATCTTCCAGGTCCATTAGCTTCACTTGAGATTTAGATAAGCCTGGAGGGCGAGTCCCCTGTTGCTGCTGCTGCTGCTGCTGCTGGTGTGCCTGCCGCAAACTAATTTGCTTTGGGAATGTATTTTCATCTAAAGTTGGCACAACAAAGCTATTCACCTGATTTTCTGAGATGGTGCTAGAAGAATTCTTGGTAACCTTATCTCCTGGAACAGTATGACTATGTTTCTGCTTTGGTGAAACAGGGTATGGCAAAATGGATTTGTAAGATGATTTAGTTCGGCCACTGAAAGTTGCCTGTTTGTTTTGAGACTTTGCCTTTCGAGAGGCAGTGGGTGCAGAATGAGGCTTCAAAGAGTAAGAGGTAGAAGGGGAAATGGTAGATTGTTTCTTTAGTACACTATCAAGTGTTCGTACATAGCTGGTACTCTTAGTGGGAAGCTGGTATACCACAGGAGATGTGGGAGCATTAGAAGAGAAACCCATGCTTGTTTCCATCAGCTTGCCTTCATTTTCCAAGTACTCATCTAGCTTATCACTGCAGAAAGCAGAACGGTTTTTCAGTGGACCTTCTGAATTTCCACCTGGAAATAGGGAGACAAAGACACTTAAAAAAAAATCTAGGACAAATCTCCAAGTCTCTTAAAAATATATACTAAAAAAACTAGGATTCCCATCTTCAAAAGAAAAATATAAAACTAAGTAAAAAGATTAAATATCATACACTTATTATTAAAATTAATTCTTCAAAATTATCTCATTACATATATTTGCATGCGTTTTTGAGAAATGCTAACAACCATTAACACTAAGGTAAGAGTATTCAATCCTTTCACAATTTATGATGTTAGTATAGAAACCATACTTAAGTAAAAAACTTAAGATAAAAACAAAATATTTAAATCAGACCTCAACAGAATGCCAAGAGATTTTTAAATTGCTTTATTTTATTAAATTTATTAGGGTGCCATTGGTTAATAGGGTCATATAGGTTTCAAGTGTACATTTCTATGATACATGATCTGTACATTCCACTGTGTGCCCACCACCCAAAGTCAAATCATCTTCTGTCACCATGTATTTGGCACCCTACCCTTTACTACTCCCACACCTGCCAAGATATTACTTAAGAGATTGCAGTACCTGGACTAAAATATAAAATGCAAGGGAAGAGGTAAGGCTCAAAAGCAGAAATATAACATTTTGTTTTTGAAGAATGAAAAAGCCAAGTTTAGTAGAAACTAGCTTTTCAATCATAACACTCTACAAAGATTCAAAGATGAGAAAAAACAATTTGGACAAATAATTAATTTATCTGGTTCGAGTGTAACCTGCCAACAAATACAGTGAGAACAGAAATACATTTAAAAAGGAAGACCAAAAGAATATAATCAAAATACTTGGATTACAAGTTTGAAGTGTAATGCTATCAGGAATCACTTTACACTATGAAGTATACAGTTCTGAAATAATATTTGAGAATGATGCTTTTTATAACCATAGGAATAAGAGAAAGAATGAGCAGTTTTCAAAGGCTGCAGTGACAATTTAAGCCTGACATGGTTAGGGACTAAACCCCAGGACCAGGACTATGGGAACACAAGGAATAAACAAATATCAGCAAGACAATTATTCTCAGTTTAAAAACATGAGGGGATGAAGAAAAACCAAGACTTACTTTTAACAAAGGCTGTAGTCACATGTTTCAGAACATATTTAAAAATTTATTAAAAAGCTGACTTACCTTCATTTCTAGATGCAGAAGCACCATGAAACTTTCCCCTCCATCCCTTGATCTTGGTGAAGTCATTGGTCTTTCCAGTTCTAGAAACAAAGGAAAATCCAGCATCTGTAAAAGAAAAAGTAAAAGATGATTAAAATTCTAGCAAGCCAATATTTAATATCTAATTAATTACTGAGACTGTCTAAAATGTATAAATCATTAAGACTATGCTTCCAGATAAAAACTATACCCTAGACTATCCTAAATGTACTTTGTCTCTATCAAAGGTAGCTTTTTATTTATATCACAAATTTGTTTGACTTCATAAATGCTATGTACTCACCAGGAGAGGCTGGGTTGGTTCCTGTAAGGTTCCAGAAAGGAAAGCTAGTGGCTGGAGGCAAAGGCAGCTGTACTCCCAAGTATTTAAGATCAATGCTCATTGTTGGATCCACTGAATTCAATTTTAAGCCCACTATAAGAAAAAGGGACCACAAATCATACTGGGTTTTTTAACCTTTGGTTGGGAGGAGGGAGGTAGTAGAGAACAAAATGATGAAATAAAAATTTTAAATGGCAGAGAGACTTTAAGGTGATCCCACAATCCTCACCCTCCTGGTATTATTACATATTCACATAATCCTCCTCCCTCCCTGAGTGTGGGCAGGGCCAATGATTTCTTTCTAAGAAATGGAATGTGGAAAAAGGATGAGATAGACATGATTTATATGTATGGAACAATGTAAGAATAAATGTATCACCCATCCTGCTAGAGCTGCAAGAATACAAATTCTGCCAACAATCCAAGGGAAACTGGACACAAACCTTCCCAGCCAAGCCTCTAATGAGAAACCAAGCCTCATATTTTCTCATTAGAAACCATGGTTTTGATGACAGATTTTGTGAGACCCTAAGCAAAGGACTCTATTAAGCCATACCCAGACTTCTGATCCACTAAAACTGTGAAGACAACAAATGTATTGTTTTAAGGTGCTAAATCCATAACATACACTATTGCTAAGTTAAGCAACAATAGATAACTAACACATACACACAGAAGAATTCAGATTTTTTGTGCTTTTATAACCTTTTGTGTTCCAGAGACTTTCCAGGACATTTAATACAAACATGCCATGGGCTGACTTTATGCCCTGTTTATGACTACTAAGTCTCTAGTTATTATTAATGATATTTATGGTTGAGTAGATGTAAAAATAGTATGACTTGTAGGTTAATAGGCAATCTTTTGAGAAACTATTTACATATACTTTTATTTTTTTTACCTAATTATTTACATCTGAGATTTGTGTTGACCGATTTCTCTCTCAATGACTTATTTTCACTGTTATACATTATTTCAGATTATAAACATACTCCAATTTATTCACCATTCTCCTACTGGTGAGAACACTTTCCTATTACAAGCAATGCTGCAGTACAGTTGTACACCCACACAGATGTACATCACATGTGACCACGTATAAGAGCTTTCTCTAATGTATTTAGCTTTTCCTTATGGCATTTACCCGGAAGAGGAAATGCTGTATAAAAGGATATGTTCATCTTTCAATTGTATTGAATGCTATGTTTGAAATACTTGTGGCTGCCCAAAGTACCTAAACACCATTCCTATGAGCTGTTACTCTTCCGCACTATAACATCTACCTCTTTAAGGCAGGTGTTAGAAAAACTGACTTTCCAACTTCTCTTTCCGTTTACATGCAGACATGAGACATAGGATTTGCTAATCAGATGCATCCCTGAAAGACCAATTTCAAAGAGAGCACCACGAGGAAAGGAATAGTGTGTATACTTACGCATATGAGAGTGACAGTTTTGGCCAAAGAAAGAACTTTTAGGGGTAAAAGTAACCAAGGTCTTAGCTATAGTATACTGTCCTAGTCTCCACATTGATAATGGTGGTAACTGTCCAAAACTGTGGGACTGCTTGTATGAGCAGTCTGGGAATACAGGCATTTTTCCTGACTACATACTCCTGCAGTCTGTTTCTCCAGCTTTTCAGGAAATTCTGTAAATCATCTGATATTCTTTAATAAATTTATAGGCTATTTCATTTGTGAACTGGATGCTAATGTTTGCAAATAAGAAATCTAACAAAGTTATTCTGAACACTTCTTATGTGGGGGGTGTATAAGAAAATGGTAACTATGTAACATACTGGAATAAATATGAGGCAGCTAATGACTGGAGGCAACCAGCTCTATAGTTACTAATTTCTGTTGGTCTTGCCTGGCCACTCGGAAATCATATCTCAAGAGCATACCTGTCACATAATCATGGATTACCACGTGCAACAATGCACTAGTTGAAAATCTGTGCTCTATATATTGCCAAATTATTCTCAATGCATACTTCCTCCAGTAATGAATATCATCACTGGATATTATTGTTCCAATCTTACTATTATAAAATTATATCCTATTCTTAAATTTGTATTTTTCTATTACCAGTACAATCTTCTAATTTAGATTTCCTCATTTGTGAATTTCTGGCTTCATACTTTGAGCAGGAAAGTATTTAACTTAGAATTTTAACATAACTGAAGCCAAAAGGAGTTTGATGTATTAAGTATAATAGTAATAACCTTACCAGTTATAGATACAGCCCCCACTGGTGTGGCTTGGTGGGTTGAGCATCATCCCACAAACAAAAGGGTCGCTAGTTCAATTCCCTGTCAGGGCACATGCCTGGGTTGTAGGCCAAGAACCCAGACAGGGACATGCAAGAGGCAACCAATCCATGTCTCGCTCCTTCTCTTTCTCCCTCCCAATCCCTCTCGCAAAAAATAAAATAAACATTTATTATTTAAAAGATTTTATATATTTATTTTTAGAGAGAGGGAAAGAAGGGAGAAAGAGAGGGAGAGAAAAATCAATGTGTGAGAGAAATATATACTAGTTGCCTCCCATACACCCCCAACTGGGGACCTGGCCTGCAACCCAGGCATGTGCCCTGACTGGGAATCAAACCAGCGACCTTTCAATTCACAGGCTAGGGCTCAATCCACTGAGCCACACTAGCCAGGGCATAAATAAACATTTCTTAAAAAGTCACAGTTGCCTAAAAGGGAAAGAAACTAGGTAAATTATAAGCTATTCATTCTTATGGCTAATTTGTGTATCCTCCACATAGAACTTATCTGAACAAAAGATAGCAATTCTGTTTTAGTTTGCAATTTTAGTTCTTTAAAATGTTTTTTTATTTTATTAAATCACATGATGTGACTAAAACTAACATTAATAAAATAAAACATTCTTTCCTCATGTTTTCAATCAACTAGAGAGAAAATAAGATTATGATTCAAAACAACTGGTTTCTAATCTCATCTTTGGTCTAAATTTCTCTTAGGTTTAGGTTCCTCATCAGCAAAATATGTAACAATCCACCACACTGGGTTTTATGCTGTACGAATTTTACTACATTTTCTCTGTGAAATACTCGGTAATACAGATGGTGATAAAGAAAAAGGACATTTCCCAGACCTCAAAGAGCTCTCTTGTTGTTTTCCCAACTGACTCATTAGTACTGGGTTGTCCTAAAAGTCCATTTAGTTTTTTCCATAAAATAAAAGACACATTTTTCATTTTCACCAATAATTTTATTGATTAGGATATTTTGAGTATGTTGGCTATCTCCCACATGGTATGACGTTGATTGTTCTCAATTAATGTCTCAATTTGATTGCTATCAACTTCAACTGCTCTACCCAACCATGGAGCATCACCCAGCGAGGTATCTCCAGCACGAAATTTCGCAAACCACTTTTGGCACATTCGATCAGTCACAGCACCTTCTCCATATACTGCACATAACTTTTTTTTTTTGCATTTGAGTTGCATTATTACCTTTCTTGAAATAAAGCATAATATGACAAAAATGTGTATTTTCTTCCATCTTCAGTATTAAAAAATTTACCAATTTTGATTTTTTTTAAATGCATGCTGATACGACATTTGTCACGATACAATCTAACAAAATTGTTCTGAATGATGTTAAAGACAACTAAGCACTACTAGAGCCATGTTATGCGGGGGGGTGGGGGGGAACTTTTTGGCCAACCCTATAGTTACAATAGGGTAAGTAAGTTCTATGAGATGTAAACAAAAGAAACAACACTTGAAAAGCTCAAGGGAATCTGGTAAAACTTTTCACAGGGTATAATTTTAAATTAGAATAAGTAGGAATTAATTAGGAAAGTTGGGGAGGGAGAGCAGAGTGGAGTCAGAAAGCAAGATACTATAGAAATTCAAGTGAGAACTAAATGCGAAACAAAAAGTAAAATGAAATACTGAAGTGACTTCAAAATAAAAAAATACTCTACTATTGCCACTGACAAAAACTACCAAAACAGAGGATCACAGAAAAGGTAGAAAAAAATAAACTAAGCTGTTAAAAATGTACCCACACAAGTTGATAGACATGCAAACCTTAGACCCATACAATAAATTTAGAGACTGTTTTTCCTACATTATTTTCTTGTCTGCATTTACTTGTATTTTGAACTACCACCTTCCCCCAAGTGATATCAAGTCCTAAAAAAATAAAAAAGATTTTAAATATAAATATTAATTTTTTAAAAGCTCCCAAAGTAGAGATCAATGGCACATAAACACTGTTCAAAGTAATTCTCAGTTTAGCTTACTTAGGCTATCCTAAAATATCTGACCCGCAAACATTTCCTTACCCCAATAACAGGTACATAAAATCTAGACTTAGTTGGTTTCATATGAGTACCTTTGGCTTACAGAAAATAAGGCGCTTAAAAAATTCATAGAAAGCATATCTCCCCCCCCCCCCGAAAATAAAATCCTTTCCACATACAACAGTTTAAACAAAATTATACTTCTAAATGCTTTTGCCGTTTTGCCATATTAGAAGATACTTTTAAAAGACATATCATGCTATTGCAAAAAAGACCCATTGATAAAACTGAAAAAAATCTTTAGATTCAAAGTTAGCTAAGCCTTGGCTGGGTGGTTCAGTTGGAACATCATCCTATGCACCAAAAGGTTGCAGGATTGATTTCCAGTCAGAACACACACCTAGGTTGAGGGTTCCATCCCCAGTCAGGGCAAAGACGGGAGGCAATCTATCCATGTTTCTCTTTTTCTTTCTCTCTGCCTCCCTCCCTCTCTCCCTGCATTTCTCACTCTCTAAAATCAATAAATCAATCCTTGGATAAGGATTAACAAAAAAAATGGAAGAGGCAGAGAGCTCTGGAAAGACTGTCATAAAGGAATTCAACATTAAAGTTGTTGAGTTTATACTGATATAAATAAATGAATGAACAAACAAATGGAGGAGAAAAGACGAAATCTCTGATGCAGAAGAATTCTAAATAATGTATGTAGATCCTCCAACGTTAGGAAAGTGGAGCATAACTCCCTATTCATTAAGTGTGGGCTACACAGTGGCTTTCTTCCAAAGAGTACACCATGGAAAGGTCAGTGACAAATCATGTAGCCTTGATATAACATGATGGGAATGGTACTTTATCTCTGTGATCTTCCTCCCACAAATATATAACCCCATTCTAATCATGAAACATCAGACAAATCCCAACTGAGGGATATTCTACAAAATACCTGACCAGTACTCCTCAAAACTGTCAAGGTCATTAAAAACAAAGTCTGAGAACCTGTCTCAGCCAAGAAGATCCTAGAGAGACATGACTACTAAATGTAATGTGATTTCCTACATGGGATCATGAAATAAAATTAACAAAATCTGAATAAAATATGAATATTAGTTAGTAATAATGTATCAATACCAGCTTACTAGTTGCAACAAATGTACTACTATACTAATGTTAGATGTTTATAATAGAGGAAACTGTGTACATGAGAGTACATGGGAACTCTCTCTACTATGTCCCCAATATTTCTGCAAACCTGAAACTTACCTAAACAAGAAAAAATTTATTTAAAAATTGACATAGAATTGATTTGGTAGCAATGAAGCAGAAATGCTTTTACAGAAATACCTTTAAAGTTTAAAAAAAAGGTAATTTCAGGTTGATAGACTTAAAAATAAATCAATTTGGATATAGTAAAGAAGTCTAAGAGGCAGAAAATTACAGTACTGTGGAAAACCAAATTAAGAATCTTATTTTTATTTTAGCAACAAAACTACCTACAACAATAAAAACATTTCCTCCAGCTTAATCATTATTTCTTCCACAATTTCAAAGCAAGCTCAAAACACTTTACAAGTTTTTCAAGCTTTTTTTTCAGCTCAAAAATATTTTTAACAAATTACTTCAAGCATCAATTTTTAGAGAGATCTGAAGAATAATTTCATTATCTTTAGAGGCCAGGGGGTGGCATCACTTAGTATAAATAGCTAAACTTACTCTCTTGAAATTGTATGTCTTAAGCAGCAAATTTGGGGGGGCGGGGGGGGCCCGCGTAAGCCAAAAGAGAAAAAAACTCCAAAATAGAACTCTGCCTCACAGCTTATGAAAAATATGTACCACATGAATTACACATGTAACTTTTTAAAAACTGTAAAAGAATGCAGGTGAATTAATTTTAACAATGTAAGGATTAAGTAAAAACTTGAACATGACATGACACCAAATGCAGGTGAAAACTGATAGCTCACACACATTTTGTTTGGCTCAGTGTTTTTAAAGCTTTACCTGCCCCCCCCCCAAAAAAAACAGGTACCAACTGCTATCACTTAAAAGTTGAGAGACATTACATAAAAATACTGACATCAGCTTCTACTGAACAATGGGAATTACTGAAAATGGTGGGTCCACATTCCCGTATGATAACAATCCAGGAAGGAATATAGCTACTATCCCCCTTTAGAAGAGTCGCCTGTGCTCCAGCCCACCAAAGTCCTATCCTACCCATAAATTCAGGTTAATTCCACTTTGTTTCCTGCTTAGTTTCCATAAGCATTTGACTTTGAAGTTCCCTTCATTACACAAAGAAAAAAGTTACGGATTTGACTAAAACGTCTATAAAGGAAGGAAAAACTCAAACCCTAGCCAACCAAGAAATAACAGGGAAACAAACCAGAGCAAAAACACTAGCAGGGATCACTGACATATTTAACTCTAGAACTAGGACTAAAGCATATGTGGGAATTAGGGTGAAAAAACAATATAAATGTTATAATATTTATACATTATTAGAGTACATAACTAAAAAGTGGAAGTAGAAAAAAATAGAGTATGTTAACTGATAAGGAAAAGAGACTATTATTTAAATAAAATAGCAGAAGTGAAAGCTGACAAAAAACAATAGCAAATGTTATCCGCCAGATTAATATCAATGTGACTGTGACTATCCCTTAACGATCCACTGTACCCAGTCCTTATCACTTGGATCAAGACTTGCATTCTTTAAGATCACACTGTCCAACACAAGTCATTCCACATTAAAGCAAAAGTTCTTCAAATATTAACATCTGATTTAAAAATCAAATGATCACTTTATAAAAATCAACTTTTTGTTTGTTAACATATAATGGTTACTCTCTCACATAAATGAACTGCTATATAATACAATCAACTAGACAGTCCTTAAAAAAGAAAATTGACTACCAGTCAAAAACTCAATAAACTACTCCAAGCAGCACACCTTAAATCAAAGATATAAGAACTAAAAATTGGAACATGGCTCACAATCCTTTACCTACACTACAAATGGAAAAATCAGTAGTTACTACAATAGCAATAAGCATAATAGATTTCACTATTTAAAACAAAAGGATTAAGCATCGTAAACAAGGCCAAGATAACCTATTAAACAAAACAGGTAATAACGAAAAATTTAAATTAAGTCTCAAGCAATAAATAAAATATATAAAATGTTTATAGCCACAAAAAAAGAAAAATATTCTATTTACATGCCTAAATATATTAATAGGTATAGAGAATAGGATGCTCCCCCCACAAAAAGCCATAGAAACCAAACCAACCAAAAATTTAAAAGATGAGAAATAGGGAAGAAAATACTATGTTATAAGAAACAAAAAACACCACTTTCTGATCATGATACATTTTTTAATTCATAAGATACTATATATCTTTAGAACAGCATTTCTCTTAGGATAAAAGACCTAGACATCTTTTTAAGTTAAGAGGGAAAAAAATCATGGAAGAAGAGAAAATTTCAAGCTGAGAGGGGCACTGAAAGAAATGAAATCAAGGATGGAGGGAAAGGAGATAAAGAAATGGGAGGACGGAGAAACAGGAAGGAGTAAGAGGGGAAGGAGAGTGAAAGGAGGGGAGAAAGAGAACAAAGTTTTAAACTAGCCTATATATATTTTTTTAGAGAATATTACCTTCTTGAAGACCAGGATGTATCACTTGCTTGTGCCTCAAGGCCTTCAAATCTTCTATCAATTCCTTTTCCAACTGGGAAATTCTTGCTCTGCAACCTACTCAGAAAACAATGATGAAGTAGGCTAGCATGTACTACAGAAAAATGAACGTTGCATCTTTTACTTCTAGAGCCAAACCCCAAATATCTCTCTGTTTTTATATCATTATATAATACCTGGGTCATTTGTGGTTGATGCCTGAAGACTAGAGGGTTCTTCTGTTGTCGCATCAACTGCATGAATGTCTAGAGCTTCCTGTATTTAAACAAAATGTAGCACACATCACTTATAAAAGTTTAACCAGAAGCATTTTTTCTCTTTAATACTTTTTGACAGTTTCTAAACGTTCTACATTAACATCACTTTAATAATCAGAAGTATACAAAGAAAGCAAAAAAATCTGAACATAACTCAGCTAAAGGTCTAAAACTATATGCTAATTTGGATAAAGATTTTTTTAAAGCCCAGGTGAAGACAGCTTATTCACCAATTAACTAGGAAGGCAGGAAAGACCAGGTAGAAAGAATTCAACCTCAGCGTAGCCAATTTAGAACTACAGACTAGGGTTCTATAAAAACCAAAACAAAAAAAAATCTAGTTAAAGAGGTAGAATAAAATAAAGAAACAACTGATGCGTAAGACAGTATAATTAGTAAGACCATTAATATTTGCTTCTCCAATGGCACTCTGCTATTGCCAATATAAATCAGGGGATGGAGTGTCCCAAAAAAGTTAATAAACTTCATATACAAGGGGGACCAAAGAAGAAAAAAAAAAGCAATTTATTTATAAAAAATTGTGTATTCATTCCTGCATGTTTAAACTTCAGTCACCTTCAAAGTATTCTCCATTTGATGCAATACACCTATTGAGACTTTTCCCCACTGCTCAAAACAGTGTTTGAACTCATCAATTTTGATGCCTTTTAGTGCTTCTGCCGTTTTTTTGTTTCACCTCTTCCACCTCAGCAAAACGTTTCCCTTTGACAACTTTTTTTCATCCAGGGAAACCAAAAAAAAACGGAGTTGTTCAGGGCAAGACTGGGTGAATAGGAAGAGTGGAGCATGGAGGTCATGCTGTTTTTGGTCAAAACTGCTTAATGTCCCTGGCTGGTGTGGCTCAGTGGATTGAGTGCCAGACTGCGAAGCAAGGGGCCACCGGTTCAATTCCCAGTCAGGGCACATGCCTGGGTTGCGGGCCAGGTCCCCAGTTGGGGACGTGTGAGAGGCAACCACACAGTGATGTTTCTTTCACTCTTTTTCTCCCTCCCTTCCCCTCTCTCTAAAAATAAATAAATAAAATCTTTAAAAAAAAAAAAGAAAAGAAAAAAAGAAAACTGCTGAACACTCAGGTGGTGTAGGCAGATGCACTTGCAAATCACCTATCATGAAATGGGCAAACACATTTAAAGAATCTTCAAAAAAATTTCACTGAAGCAGAATGCAGCCTCTCACACAATGCCAGCTGGTACAGTGATAGAAGAGATGGGTTCCTAGAACACTCATCTAGTGGAGGAAGCATGTAGTACAAGGGGCACCCTCCAGAAGATAATTCCGTTTCTTCTTGGGGGAAGATGTCCCTTCTTGTACTTACGCCTTTTTAAAGTCCATAATAAAAATTCCAGTAAGATTTGAAGATTTTAAAAATTCCAGCTACACATAACAAAAACCATGAACTAAGATCAAGCTGACATAAATTTTTAAGTGCGTTAAAACAAAATATCTTAAGAGATGCCTACTAACTAAACCAAACATTTTGGAAACAGCTTCTGACACAAGCCCTTACATTATCGATGCATTCACAAAAACTAGACTCTAAGTTGATTACTGGCCAGGTTGAACTGAATTATACAATTCAAAAATAAATATTTTGCCTTTGAAAGAATGCTGAAATGACAACTTACCTTCGATTCAAAGGAAACAAAAAGAACACCATCCACGTCTTCCAGATCAGGCTTCACATCTGGAAAGGTACTCCCAGGGCCCATTGGAATACTCTTTGTAGAAGTTAAAGATTTTCCTGTATTTTTAGGTGGTCGCCCTGCTTTAGAGAGTTTCAATTTTCGTGGCCTTCCTCTTTTTCCAGTGACATTTGGAGGAACATTATGATTAGGATTCACAGTCTTGGGAGCTGTTGAAATCTTGAGCATAGTTGTTTTCCTTCTGCCCAAGTCCTCTTTTCCTAAAAATGAATCCCCAGCTAAACTCTTTGAATTGTCAGGTATTCTTCCTGTATTCATGCTGTCAGAAATATCAGGAAATTTCCACTGAGGCTCTTTAAGTGAAGAACATTTTTGTGCCACTCCAAGATCTGGTGAATGTTTTCCAAGACCATTTTCTGATTCCTTGCCTAAGCAGAAACCAGTCTCATTGGAATTTTCAATGTACGTAGGCAAATAGTCTAATTCTGTCAACAAGGAGGCTTTATCCTTCCGAGATAGAGAAAGCATGTTATCAGGGAGCTCGGAAATTTTCACTGTGCTTTTGGTAACAGCACAGGGCTCCAGATAGACTACTGGCATCTTTCCAGCATCTAATTTGAACATTTTAGCTTTAGCAACACCTGATGGGCTATTTGGTAGCCATTTAGAAGATGGATGGTCAGCTTCTAGGCTATCAACTTTATTGTGCCTCTTCAGTTGTTTCTCTAGTATAGGATCATCATCACTGTTTGAGTATACATCTGTTTCCTCATCTGTTTCTTCCTGTTTCACAGTGACCCCTTCTGGAAACTCACCAAGTTCATAATCGTAATCATCTAAAGGTTCCTCTTTAATGACAACATTGAAGTTTCCATTTGGGTCTAATGGTGATGCTACATGGGAACCGTCTTCAAAATTGTTGGCAACAAGTCTGGAGAGACAGGGTAGAGATGCTTAGTTAAAAGGAGACCTTTCCCTAAATAAGATTCAGGAGGGGGAATAAAAGGTTTTTCAAAACCAAGTGACATATCAGGTTTCATGAGCCATTCCTCAAGAAACACTCTGTGTAACAAGGATCTCGAAAACAGTTTATCAATATCACACTTTTATATCTTCTGTCAAACTCTCACAAAAATATATATAAAATAGTAAGTTTTAATAAGTGACCCTCTTATCACTAACTCAAGAAAAGTTATAACACTTATTTTCCTAATAGTATTTTTCAAATAAACTCAGTATTTTTTTTTAAGATTTTTTTTCCCCCAAGACAGGGGAAAGGAGGGAGAAAGAGTGGGAGAGAAACATTAATCTGTGAGACAAACATTGCTCTGTTGCCTCTTCCACATCACCAACTGGGGACCTGGCCTGCAACCCAAGCATGTGCCCCGACAAGGAATCGAACCAGCAATCTTTTGGTTCACAGGCCAGCGTTTAATACACTGTACCACAGCAGCCAGGGCAAATGAACTCAATTTAAAAGTGAACTGGCAACAATAAAAAAAAAAGAAAGAAAGAAAAAAGTCAACTGACACTGAAGCAAAAAACTCAAGATATCTACAGAGGGATTACTGCCAATAAAAGCAAACAAATGTCAACTGTAATTAAGAATTACAATAAACATCAGGTAGGGCCTTTTGAAACTGCCTGCTTGACTTTCCCGTTTTCAAAAAAATAAGAGAAAATTTATATAATATAAAATATAATACTTTCACCACTTAAGAAAGTACAATCCAGTAGTTTTTTAGTATATTCACAATGTTGTGAGGTTGGTTTTTCAACTTTAACACTGAAAAACTCACAGTTTTAAGAATCTAACATTAATTCTCCCAAAATAAAAAGGCAGGGTAGTTGAAGGTGAGTACATATGACACAGGTAGATTCAGTGTTTATAATTCTTCAAAAAATAATCATTTGTTTAGTTTCCCCCGCCTCCAAATTAACCACTGAAAGCATATCAACTGTCCCAATGTATCTTAAGGACGTGTTAGAACTATTCACTAACCAATTAAAGCCACTGTCTTTGTAAAACTTGTGTTTCTCTCAAATATGTACATGCAACTATTAAATTAAATCACTGCATAGTCACTTGTTCCCTGTACAACTTACTTAAGATCTTGACCTGACCTGAAAAATCCTTCACTGGAGGACTTCTGCTTCCAGTTATAATGCTGAAGATCACACCTTGGCTGGGTAGCTCGGTTGGTTGGAGCATTGTCCCATACGCTAAAAAGGTGGCGGGTTCAATCCCTGGTCAGAGCGCATACCTAGGTTCAAGTTCGATCCCCAGTTAGGGTGTGTACCGGGAGGCAACCCATCAATGTTTCTCTCTCACATCAATGTTCCTCTCTCACATCAATGTTCCTATTTCTCTCTCTCTCAAAAAATCAATGAAAACATATCCTCAGGTGAGGATTAAAAAAAAAAAAAAAAAATGAAGATCACAAAGGCCATCACTTCCGCTGAAACAATGAGCACACACTACATAAAATAAAAAACCAATTTTTCTTTAAAGCCATTGAAAACCTGGACACAAATAAGTCTAAATGAACTGAATTCCAAAAGGAACCAGCCCTCTCTGAGACAGATTACTACTGCTTTCAACCCTCAGTAGCATTTACATTGCCTGAAGCACAAGAGAACAGAGAAAAAAGTAGCTAAAAGCAAAGGATCTTTGCTGAGATACAAGGAAACCAGTCAAACTTTCAATGTCTGAATACGAATAGACTAGATTCTGAAAGACCCCAAACAGAAAACTTGTCCTCACTTCCACCAATTATCCTCCCAAGGGACTTCTGCAGAATAAGCAAGAATGATACAGCAGGGCTGGACTAAATACAGAGAACTTGTAGTGCCCCAACGCTTGGATCCCAAGTCTGATCCCACCCTTAAAAATCTGAAATGTGAAGTGAGCTGAAATTTACTTAGGTAAATCACCTAAACTGAAAAATAGAAGGAGGGGAAAAAGGTGTGTCAGGGACCTGTAGCACAACAAATGATCTAACACACTAGTAATTACACTTCCAAAAAGGCAGGAGAAAGGACTACTTGAAGAGAAAATTAACCCATATTCCAAAAGTGAAAGACCTTTTTTTAACCCATAGATTCAAGAAGTTAGACAAATGCCAAGGATAACAAATACAAAGAAAGTCATAACTAGGGAATAAAGGTCAGGCTGCTGAAAACTAAAGATCCAGAGAAAAACTTTATAAGCAGCAGGGGGAAAAAACATGTTACACTGTAGGAACAGCAATGAGAACAGCCCTGGCCAGGTAGCTCAATTGGTTACAGCATCATCCCCATACATCAAGGTTGTAGGTTCAGTCCCTGGTCAGGGTAAATACAAGCAGCAACTAATGAATGCATAAATAAGTGGAATAACAAATTGATGTTTCTCTGCATCCCTTTCTACCTCTGTCTGTCTCTTTCTCTCTCTAAAAATCAATATATGTAAAAAGTTTTAAAAAATGAGAACAGATTGACTACTCATTGTAATGAGGCCAAAAGACAATGGAATGATACTCATCATAAAGTACTGAAAAAGCCAACTTAGCCCTGGCTGGCATGGCTCAGTGGATTGAGTGCCAGCCTATGAAATGAAAGGTCTACAGTCTGATTCTGGTCAGGGTACATGCCTGGGTTGTAGACCAGGTCCCATGTTGCAGGCATGTTAAGAGGAGCAACTGATGCTTCCCTCACACATCAATGTTTCCCTCCCTCGCTCTCTCCCTCCCCCCCATTCTGTCTAAAATTAAATAAATAAATTTTTAATGATGTTATTAAAAAAGTCAACTTAAATGTTCTAGGTCTAGCAAAAAAGCAGCCTTTAAAGCTGAGGACATTTTCAGACAACTGAGAGAACTCAAGAATGTACAAGAAACACTACCTCCTAAGATCAGAAACAAAACAAGAATGTTAGTGCTCACCATTTCTACTCAATTATACAGAAGGTTCTATGAAGGTGATCAGGCAAGAAACATAATTAAAAGATGTCCAGAAATAATAATTAAAAGATGTCCTTAAAAAACTACTGGTATAAATGAGTTTGGCAAGATTACAGGTTCCAAGTTTAATACACACACACACACACACACACACACACACAAATTGTATTTCTAGACAGTAGGCATAAACGTCAAAAATGAAATCAACAAAGTAATTCCATTTGCAAGAATAAAATACTTATGAATAAACTGAACCAAAGAAGTGTAAGACTTGTATACAAAATATTGCTGAAAGATATTAAAGACAACTCTTTAAAAATATTCCATGTTTACATACTGGAACACTTAATACTGGTTAAGACAGTAATACTCCCTGAAAGTGATCTGCAGATTCAACACAATCTGTCAAAACTCACCTGGGATTTTTGTGGAAAATAACAAACTGATCCTACAATTAATATGGAAATGCAAGAGATGCCAAAATAGCCACCCAAAAATCTCAAAAAATAAGTAGTTCTGTGAGGACTCAGACTTCTCTATTTCGAAAGTTACTACAAAGCGCCCTGGCTGGTGTGGCTCATTCAGTGGAATGAGCGCTGGCCTGCGAACCAAAGGGTCATGGGTTCGATTTCCAGTCAGGGCACATGCCTGGGTTGTGGGCCAGGTCCGCAGCAGCGGGTGCATAGTGGCAACCACGCATTAAAGTTTCTCTGCCTCTCTCTCTCCCTACATTCCCCTCTGTCTAAAAATAAAATAAAATCTTTTTTTTAAAGTTACTACATAGCTACAGTAATCAAAAATGTTATACTGGTGCCCTGGCTGGTGTGATTCAGTGGACTGAGTACCAGCCTGTGAACTTGGGGGTCACTGGTTTAATTCCCAGTCAAGGGCACATGCCTGGGTTGCAGGCAGGGTCCCTGAGGGTGGGTGTGCAAGGGGCAATCACACATTGATATTTCCCTCCCTCTCTTGCTCCCTCCCTTCCCCTCTCTTTGAAAATAAATATATAAAATCCTTTTTTTAAATAGTTATACTGACTTAAGGCTAAACATGCAGATCAACTGAACAGTATTCAGAGCCCAGTAATAAAAAGCCCACATTTATATCTATTGATTTTTCTTTTCTTAAATATATTTTATTATGCTATTACAGTTGTCCCAATTTTTCCCACTTTGCTCCCCTCCACCCCAGTACCCCCCACGCCCAATTCATATCCATGGGTCATACACTTAAGTTCTTTGGCTATTCCATTTCTTATAATGTTAACATCCCCCGTCTGTTCTGTACCTACCAATATGTACTTCTTAATCCCTGCCCCCTCTTCTTCTCCTCTCCCTTCAAATGAGAACCCTCCAAATGATCTCTATACCTATGACTGTTTCTGCTGTTTGCTTAGTTTGTTTTTCAGATTCAATTGTTGATGGATGTGAACTTATTGCCATTTTAATGTTCATAGTTTTGATCTTCTCTTTCTTAAATAAATCTCTTTAACATTTCATACAATAATGGCTTTATGAACTCCTTTAGCTTTACTTTGTCTGAGAAGTACTTACCTGCCCTTCGATTCTAAATGATAGCTTTGCTGGATAGAGTAATCTAGGTTGTAGGTCCTTGCTTTCCATCACTTTGAATACTTCTTGCCAGTCCCTTCTAGCCTGCAAAGTTTCTTTTGAGAAACTAGCTGACAGTCTTATGGGAACTCCTTTGTAGGTAATTTGTAGGTAGAGAACTCCTGCTTTTCTCTTGCTGCTTTTAAGACTCTCTCTTTATCTCTAACTTTTGGCATTTTAATTATGATGTGTCTTAGTATGGGCCTCATTGTGTCCATCTTGTTTGGGACTCTCTGTGTTTCCTGGACTTGCATGTCTATTTCCTACACCAGATTAGGAGTTTTCTTTATTTTTTCAGTTTAGTTTTTAATTTTTTGCCCTTTGCTCATTCCAGCCACCCCTATGATTCGAATGTTGGTGCATCTGAAGTTGTCCCAGAG